AGGAAACATCCAGATCTGTTAAAATTGTGAATTAAAAAAATTCAAATATGACATGCATGCACACTAAATTGCAAAAAGGTTAAAGCTTTTTTCACGCTTCTCAGAAACATTATTGCTTTTTACCCAGGGCTCCATGAGTTTAAATCAGGGTTTAAAATCAACAGGGTAGAACTTCATCTTCAAAGGAAAACACTCTCTTTTGTATTTCAAAATGAACCAGCTGCAAGGTTACAGCAACAAAACACAAGTATCTGACTTGTTTTCATACCACCTTTTGTGGCTACTGCACTCACTTTCAATACTAATATTACGAAGATTGGCCAGATCCATAACATAATAGCTCTGTGGAAAAATCCCATGGGAGGTGGACTGACCTTTTGTTTTTCATTTCAGTTATTATAGCTTTAAGGCAGCACTGATACTATGCCTTGAGTTAATCAATAAGTATTATTTCTTTCACATATAATTAACACTAGGGCCTCTGTGTTTTTGTATAATGATCTGCTTATCTGCTGTGAAATGAAATTTCATATAGGCTTGTCAGAAACAAAGTATCCTTCCCACTTAATACTCTTCAATACATTTCAGTGCCTACTCATATGAAAAACGAGCAGAGTCATACCATATATTAGAAAAAATCAACATGACTACAAATGCATAATTTCAGCCTTTGCCTTTGTGCATGTGGGGAAGAGCCACTGGGTAAAAAGATATCTAGCTTTCCCAAGAGGCTGTAGTTAAAAAGGGAATATCACACCATACCTGGATTACTAATGAACAATGGGAAAGGACAGAGATTAATGGGGCCAAGGAGAAGAAATGCTGATCCAAAGAAGTCATGCTGGGAAATTCTGGTCCCAGAGTAAGTGCAGCAGAAAGGAGAATTAGCCAGTTGCCTGCGTTTTAACCCATTTGTGTATCACTTAAGAAGTTTCTTGACCTTTCTGGATTCTATCTTCCTCTAATAACCCTCCCAAATGTATTACTGTCAGAGCACCTGCGCATACCTGGGAGGAACAGTGAGGTGCCTCTCCCCACTCCCACCCCTGCCAAGAATTTAGAGACAAGGTAAGTAAGACGAGTCTCTGAGATTAGAATCAACACATAAAAGGCTAGGGTAGAGATATGCAAATGAATCCCTAAAGGGACAGGACCATACCTAAACCAGCAAGTCTTGCTGTTGGACTGAATCTGTAACACGATGTGAGGAATAACAGGTCCATTACAAAAGGAGTTGGACAGTGAAGGGGGCTTAGGAAAGGGAGTCTCCAGGGCCAGGAACATTTCAGGGGAGCAGGGATATGGGAGATGAACCTAGTAGGCTCTGAGGCCACTGGATTCTTATAGAACAACTCGCTGGCTCAGATTCCATTCTCATCAAGGTTTCTTATGAGCTAGACTTTTGACTCTAAAAGGAAATAATATGTTTATCAGGCTTGTTATCGTTTGCTTGCCAGTTATATTTCATATGGTTAAAAAGGACGCTTGTATTCTAGTTTATACGTCTAGTTTATTCCTCTTAATAACTCAACAATTCTAACAACCATCAATTCAGGAAGGCTATGGATAAGGAGTTTCTGTGCACATAGAGCTCCTGGCTTCATCCTGGACCAGGTTGAGTCCGTAGGTGAATGGGCCCTTTGGAATCCATTTGGGTCATACCATTCCTTTCAAATATCTGTATACAAGTCTTTCCACAGACTGCATCTCCGCTCAAAAGCCCAAGATAGATCCCTACTTTTTATTTAGCTCAAGTTTAAAAACCTGAGTCTTTGGCCAGGCATGGTGGCTCACACCTATTATCCCACCATTTTGGGTGGCCAAGGTGGGTGGACTGCTTGAGCCCAAAAGTTTGAGACAAGCTTGGGCAATATAGCAAGACCTCAGCTCTGCCAAAAAAAAAAAAAAAAAAAAATAGCTGAGCGTGGTGGTGCACGCCTGTGGTCCCAGCTACTTGGGAAGCTGAGGTGCGAAGATTGTTTGAGTCTGGGAGTTCAAGTTTATAGTGAACCATGATCACACCACTGCACTCCAGACTGGGTGACAGAGGGAGACCCTGTCTCAAATAAAACAAAAAACAAATCAACCAACAAACCTGGGTCTGGATTTCAGGCTGGAAATTTCCCCACACTCCCTATGCACCGTATCTCCCACTGTGTTCACCATGAGATTGCCCCTCTCAGGTTTCATAAAATGAGGCTAAAAGACCTTTCCTTACATGCTCCTCGCTTGGAATACATTCTTTCTCTTTAGTTTAATAAAATTCTACCCCATTCTTCAAAGTGTAATTCATGTTCCACTTTTTCCAAGAAACCTTGCCTATGGTTCTAGACTGACTTCTCCTTTCACTAAATTCCAGAAACAGGTATGGTCAGTACCACATAATTTTCACTTAATTATACTCCAGTCTTGTGCTAATGTTTAATTGTTGTGTGTGTGTTATTGTTGCCTACCCACTTGTAAGTTCTCTGCAAAAGGTAGAAATAGAATGAAACCACTTATCGGTAAGCTACATAAGGGCCGGCAATGCCTTTTAAGAATTATTTGATGGTCCTAATAGTAACTAGGCACAGAGTAAACCAGTAATAAATATTTCCAATGGATAGGTCTTTATAAGTTGGCAATACATAAGCGCAAACAGCTTTTAAACGATTTGTTCATTTAACAGTTTTTTCATTATATACTCTAGGCAAGATTCCAGTTTCCCCTAATAAATTAATGCTAAATAAGCATCCTTATATTCATAGTTTTTAGTTGCTATTCAGTTTTTAGTCAATCTCTGAAACTGATTACTTTGAAAGTATCTTTAATTGTCTCGCCATGTTTTTCAGAACAGCTTTAGCTGCACTATGATCAAACTGTTAAATTGTTTTGATTTCTCAAAATGAAGTTTGTTATTTTGATCTATATGAAGTTCTGAGTAAATGGTTATTGTTTTAAGGTTTATGAAGCTAGGTTAAGGTAATCAGAAACAACTCTGTCAACAATTTTACCAGGCCTCTTTTAAATTGTATCAACCTCATTGGGGTTGTTAGAGTTGATTAACAGATTGAAGAACTTTGTTGTGGGATTTGGGAATTCTGATTCCTAGAGTTTGAAGTTGGAATGGAATCCTATCATGCTCCTGGTACACAATACCTGACCCAATAGGTAACTATCAATTAAATAAATGATTTTGGCCTACTGTCTGTGAAATTATTCTGCAAAATAGGCAACTACATAAAACAATGTGTTTTTTAATTTAAAAAGAAAGTCCTCAATTCATTTAAAGAGCACCTATGAAAATATACGTATAAAACTTCATATGGGAATACTATTCGGAAATATAGCAAAGAAAAGACAAGAAATGTAGGTATGAACATAATGAAAAAGCTGGTAAAGGCAGTGTAAGTTTTAAAGTTTTTACCAGTAAAAAATAATTTGTATTGAACTGGAAGTTTCAAAACTAAAACACTGGAAAATTACTCAAACATCATACTGCTAGAGAGATGAAATAACATTAAATTATCTTCCAAAATCTCTGAATTCAAGAATGACATAGGGATAATCATTGTCAAGAACCTGATTTAAACAAAATAGGGAAACAGATTCCCTTTGAAACATATTTTCTCAAACCAAAAGGCCTCCATATTACAGCCTCTATTTCTAAAACTTTTGTATTAGGATTTAGAAATATGAAATTTATAATATTGTTTTACATGTAGCAAATCTTTCCCTTTTATTATAACTACTGTTGTAAGCCTTCAATACTCTTTTGTGACCACTTCGCAAAAGGCTTAATCACTTCAATGTTAGATGTGCAGACAATTGAGCGCAAATGCTTTATAGTTCTTTTTGTTAAAAGCACATAAACGTGTATATAAATATTTTAGCTCATACTCACGGCAGCAAAGCCAAATCCACTGAGGTGGTTATTTCTATTGCAGCAAAACTAGTAAGTGACTTTTAAGGTATCAGTTTAATTTTCCTAGGTGGTAAGTAACCCTATTTTAGGTCAAAGTTCATAAGCAGACTGGTAACTAAGATGCTTCCAAGTGACCGCTTTTTGATGAGCGTGTATATTAAGCCACATATTTTCCTTCTCCTGGTCACATATTACATCTCAAGCCATCTAGATAGCTGATGCCCACATGGGTAGGAAGAAGGCAATTTCAACAATTCAATTGTGAAGTCCCATTTCATGCATCTTGGAGAAACCTAAATATGCATGACAATAAAATATCTCACAGAGACGAGAGTTCTTGCCAACAGATTTCTAGTAATGAAATTAAAAGCATATCCTAATCCCTCTGCTAGCTCACAAGAGTAGGCAAATGTCAAAAGCAAAGAAAGGCTTTGTGTTGGAATTGCTATATAATTCTCATGCATACCCTATTTTCAGTTCCCTGGCTGTGAATTTTTCTCCAGTGAAGACTTGAACACACCCTCAGCCTCTCTGGCTTTTTAAGTTTTCACCTCTATGTTTATTCATCTCTCTGTGATGCAAAGAAGTACAGAGAGAACAACTATACTGAGCGCTTTCTTCTCTGATGTGAAGAATATAAATTACAAGAATGAGTGCTGTTTTGAAAAAAGAGTGGTAAACTTTCAAAGTTAGCACTTGGCGAAGAAAAACACGCCTAACTAATCTGAATTCCCCAGCGGAACGTCTTAGGTTTCACAGGTACATTAAAATGCATTAAGAATATTCCGAAGATCTCTTGGCAGTTTTGATTTCAAGATGTTGGAGCAGAATCCTACTATTTCAGGAAAATGCAACAGTTACATTTGAGACTGCAGGAATACAGAATTATGTAAGGCACTGCAGAGTATGTGAGACCAAATGTTTCTGTGAACACCACTCACAATTCAGCATATTGGAACGAGTAAAGAGAGCCTCCTGTTCACCAACAAAGCGCACATGCATGCGAGGGGGACAGGCACAGAGGTGGCTGGCTCACGGCTTTCTCTCTGCCCTTGCAAAGGAGGAGGGGGAAGAAGAGAGAGGGAAGGCAAAGTACCGTCTTGTCCAGGCACTGAAGGCAGTTATAAGGCTTGCAGCAGCAATGGCCCATCCCGGCAGGCTGGCAGGCAAGGGGACCTCCTTCATTCAACGTGTCAGCGGGCAACTCCTAAGCCGAGGTACTGGCACACACGAAAGGGGCGCGCCGCTGGGAGCTGTCACAACTTCCATGTGGTCCCCTCGGCTACCTTATTTCTCCTAAACTTCAGGAATCCAGGAGGCACAGGAATGAGAGGAGGAGGAGGAGAGCAGGGCGGCAGCGATCAGATCTTGCTGCTGCGGGAGGGAGGGCAGGCGGGAGCCAGGAAGGGAGGGGACAGGCAGGAGGGAGGGTCACTTTGCCACTGGAATCCTCAGGGTGAGGCAAATCAATAGTCGCATAACCACAAGGCATTTACCAATGCCGGCTCCCTAAAAGGACAGCCTGGTCTCCGCCGGCTGCGCGGCCGCTCCCAGCCCTCCCCTGGCGGGGATGCGCCTCCGCACCGCGCAGACACGCCTGGAGAGGACGCAGGAAGCACAAAAGGCGAGCCTGGGCTTCAGGGCACTGCCTGGGGACGCCCGAAAGGGCTGCCAGCGCTTGGCTCTGCTGCAATCCTAGCTCCTAGTTTTCTGGGAAGTAAAAATATTTATAAACGTGATGTATATGGCCTCTCCTCCCATGAAACTCTTCTCAGAACATTTGTTGCTAATGGGAACCACCAATTTCTCATTTTCTAATTTGCATGCCATGAACAAATTTTTTGCCTTATTTGATGAAATCTTCACATTTAAAATATAACTGTGAAGTCGCTTGCCTAGGCTGACATACACACACCATTCAACTGGCTTGAGTAATTAAAATTGGGGTTTGGGGCAGGTATTTCTCCTAGGCAAACTGGCATAAACGCCTTAAAGGACTTGATCTTTCTAGTTTTTCACACAGTTAACAATCAGAAAGGGAAAGCATCAGGGAGCAAAAGTTTGTTTTTTTTCTCAAAAAAGACTTGGTATTTAAAAATACATTTATGTAATCCTGAAAGTCAAAGAAGCAAATATTTACATGATTGATTTTATATGCCCCGATACCCCTCAGAGGAGAAATCTTGAAATTTCTCATGTTTACAAATATACAATTACGTTTTTGCCCACTAAACTGCCTAAGGCTGTAAACAGACAATAGTTGTTAAAACTAGATGATTTTACTAACTTAACTGAGATTTTCCAAGCAGATTTTAGTTAAGTAGTATAGGCTCGGAGAAAGGCAAGTACTTAGTGATCAAATAGGAACAGACTGGAATGTTTGCCTTAGACTTGAAAGAATAAATGGAAACCTTTCTTTCAAGCTAGCAGGTAAATTAGCATAATCCTTCAGGAAGGCGATTTGGCTGTACCTATCAAAATATTAAATGTACACACGCCTTGACCCAACATTTGCATGTCTATGCTATAATAATACATACATATACAAGCATGTATGCATAAGGATCTTCAATTCAGCATCGCTGGTAACAGCACAAAAATGGGGAATATTTTAGATTTTCAATGCCTTTCTATTATATGGAAAGATGATATACATTGTTGACTGAGAAAGCAAACTTTTATAAAAAACAAAGCAAACATACACATGTGCATATGTTTGGAGTAAAGCTTTGGAAACAGTCACACATTCATGTAACAGTAGCCAACCCTTGAGGAATGGGAACCAGGAGGGAGTGAATGTCCACTTTTTACCCTCTCATGAGCATGTTTTATTTTTACCGTTTTAAAACAGTGTGCCAGGGAAAAGGCAGGGCCCCCCATCTGGGCTCTGTGATGTGAGGTCCAGAGCTGCCTCCCGCTCACTCAGGCTAATGCTCCTTGGCAATGAGCTTGCTCAGACCTCTCAGAGGGAAAGAAGCTCACAGTACCTTAAGCTCGAACCTGTGCTGAAAGCTGTTCCTAGGGCTTTTGAAATCGGTGAGAAAAACTTTATGTTGCAAAAAGTGGTGGCTTAGTATACCCCGACGCTCACAGCAGCATTATTCACAATAGCCAAAAGGTGGAAGCAACCGGAATGTCTACCAACAGATGAATGGCTGAACATAATGTGGTGTATGCATGCAGTGGAACGTTAGCCTTAAAAAGGAAGGAAATTCTGACAGGTGCCACATAACACGCCTACCTAATCTGACAGGTGCTACAAAACATGCTCAACTAATCTAAATTCATCTTAGGATGAATGAAACTTGAGGATATCATGTTAAGTGAAATAAGCCAGTCGCGAAAGTACAAATACTATATGATTCCACTTACATGAAGTACCTAGAGTGGTCGAGTTCACAGAGACAGGAAGTGGAATGGTGGTTGCCAGGGGCTGGGGGCAGGGAGAAGTAGGGAATTGCTGAATGAATTACAGAGTTTTAGTCTTAGAAGATGAAGAGTTCTGGATTCACACTACAATGCGAACATACAGACTGTTCCCCACTTATGATGGTTCCATTTATGACTTCCACTTTACGATGACGTGACACATTCAGAGGACTCCTTGACTTACGATGGAGCCATAGCAGGATAAATCCCTGGTAAATTGAAAACACCGTTAAGTTGAAAGTGCACTGTCATAACCCCGTTGTAAGCTGAGGATCATGTGTACTTAACGATCAACTGTACACTAAAAAATAGTTAAGATGGGGAATTTTTTGTTATATTTTATCACAGTTTTTTTTTTTTTTTTTTTTGTCACCCAGGCTGGAGTGCAGTGGCGCGATCTCGGCTCACTGCAAGCTCCGCCTCCCGGGTTCACGCCATTCTCCTGCCTCAGCCTCCCAAGTAGCTGGGACTACAGGCACCCGCCACCACGCCCGGCTAATTTTTTGTAGTTCTAGTAGAGACGGGGTTTCACCGTGTTAGCCAGGATGATCTTGATCTCCTGACCTCATGATCTGCCCGCCTCGGCCTCCCAAAGTGCTGGGATTACAGGCGTGAGCCACCGCACACGTTTTTCTAAAAGAGAAGTGGTAGCTTGCATTTACCTGGAGGCAACAGCTCCTGAGCTGCAGGTATGGATTAAATCAAGACAGAGCAAAGCCCTATTGTGGACAGAGCCAGGCGGGGTGGGAAGGCCGCAAAGCTAAGCACCCTACATTGATTTAAAGAATGCTTTCTTCCAGCTCAGTTGTCTTCCTGAAGATAGGTCCTCTTAGGAAATAGTTTTATTCTAAATTAGAGGTTAGAGTGCACCATACTAGAAAATTACTTCGTATTCTTAGGAGATGTATGAGAGCTCTTGCTAACCAGTTGCTCCCAGGAGATTAGTGTGAGACTGGAGGATCTACACAGAGGCCGTTTTCAGCTTCTCTTCTAGGGCACAGAGGGCACTGAAGGGCAAGGCACTTCCGTAGTCCAGTCCTTCCTACATTGTTGAAATCGCACATGTACTATGATCTCAGTGCACACGACCTAGATTTTGAGAAATGTATTCATGTTCTAGAATTGTGCCTTGTTTAGTTTACATGTTACAAAAATTTCAAACATATTGAAAAATAGAGCTAAATACCAAAGGTCTTCACATCCCTATTTCCAGGTTCAACAGTCATCAAAGCTGTGGGCACACTTGCTTCATCTATCGTTTTTTGTTTTTATTTTTTAACTTTTTCTTCATATACCCATCACCCCACTTCAGCAATTACCAAGACTGTTACCTTATTCTCACTTGTGCCTTGTCTTTCTTTTTTCTTTGTTAAAGTATTTCTTTCCTTTTTTTTTTCCCTGTTTTTTTTATTTGTTTTTTTGTTGAGACAGAGTCTCACTCTGTCACCCAGGCTGGAGTGCAGTGGTGCCATCTCAGCTCAATGCAAACTCCACCTCCCAGGTTCAAGCAATTCTACGGTTTCAGCCTCCCAAGTAGCTGGGATTACAGGTGCGGGCCATCACGCCCAGCTAATTTTTGTACTTTAGTAGAGACGGGGTTTCACTGTGTTGGCCAGGCTGGTCTCAAACTCCTGAGCTCAAGTGATTTGCCCGCCTTGGCCTCCCAAAGTGCTGCGATTACAGGTGTGAGCCGCTGCTGCACCCGGTCTGTTATAATATTTCTATGGTAAAGTATTTCTAAGCAAAACCCTACATGCTTTAGTATGCATTGCTAAAAATTATGAACATTTTCTTACATAACCACAATGCCATTAAAACAATAAAAGTGACAATAATTCCTTGGTATCCAATACCCAGCTCATAAAAAAAATTTTGCTGGTTTCTTAAAAAAAAAAAATTTTTTTTCTGGTTTCTTTGTTTGAATTGTTTGCTTGAATCAGGATTCAAACTAGGTCCATGTATTACATCAGCTTTTAAGTATCTTCGGTCTCCTATGAAGAGCAATCCCCACCCCTCCTCTTCTTTCACTGCCATGCCACTGACTTGCTCAGAAACTGGGTCAGCCACCCTGTCGAATGTCCTACATGCTGGATGTGCCTCTTTGTTTCTTTGTAATGTCACTTCACCTGTTCCTGCATCCCTTTAAGCGAAATTTAGCTCTCAAATCTGGGTTAGATTCAAGTTCAGTTTTGGGGATAACATCTCAGAGGTGATGCTGTGCGCTTCATGTTGCATTCCGTCGGGAAGCACACCACGTCTGGGTGTTCCAATTTTAGTGAGCTACAGTGGATCAGGATGTGATAGCCTCATCTCCATTGTAAAGTTTCCCATCAGCCTTTTATATAATGGATTCATTTGTTAATAATTATTACCTGAATCAATTATTTCACTGGGGACTGCAACATAATGTTCTGGTTATTTTTGTCTTTTTGCATTTATTAGATGGATTTTTTTTTTTTTTTTTTTAATTTGAGACGGAGTCTCGCTCTGTCACCCAGG